ACTTAAATTACCAGCCGCACAGCGCCTCACAAATTCCTCCTGGTTCGCATCTACAGAGAAATCTGCACTAGTTCAGTCAGTTGAATCTGTCGGATCCAAACCAATCAATTGAACTTTTTTTACCCTGTGCGCTGTCCGTGCGCTTTTATGAGGATTTTTGTGTGGTTTCACTTCCCCGAAACGGACGGGTGTTACGTCTGCTGCGCTTCTGAGCGCCGCTCTCCTTGTGGGCGGGAGGGGAACCCCTCCAGCTCCATTTGTTAAAACCGCAGGGCGAGTTAAGTTTAATTGTTCTGCATTGGTTTGCAGCGCACTGTGCATGTTTGGTCTAATTAACCTACCTGCAAGCATGCCTAGGTGGGCCCCATATGGGGGAAAGGAGGGCTGACATATGGGTCCCATATGGGTTTGTCCGCCGGTTCCACGGTGGGCCCACATGGGTTTGGCCATTTAGGGCCCATACAGGGTCCACGTAAGCTGTGGCCCTACATGGGCAAACCCATGTGGGCCCACCGTGGAACCTGCGGACAAACCCATATGGGACCCATATGTCAGCCCTCCTTTCCCCCATATGCAGTGGCAGAGCCAGAGGGGGCGCCAGGGGGCCAGTGCCCCCCCTGTCATCTGATGATTGACATGTAACAGCACCAGGTCATTCATTATTCGGAATCATTCTAAGCCAACCTGATGTCTAAAGAATAAAAACAATAATAAATATAAGAAAAGAAAATGTATAAAACTTTATATAAGTCCATGTAATGACATGTAAATAGATTTATACCAGCCTCCACCATCAGGCAAATAATTCTGGTCCGACCAGAACTATTTTTACCTGTCAAATTACATGTCAATGTCATGGTTCAGGGTTTGGTGAGGTGAGATGAGACGCAGGCAGCCAGGATGAAGGTGAAAATGATGAATTTAATGACAAACCAGGAGAAACAACTGAAAATCACTGGCAGCACAGGAACAGACACAGACGTGAGACGAGGGTGGGACACGACGGCACAGGGAAACAGTTACAAATGACGAGGATCTGACAACGAACACAGACAACAGGAGGGGCTATATACACACAGGGTAATCAGGGGGATACGACACACCTGGGGAGCAATCAACAGGGAGGACAGAGACTCAGGGAACAGGACTACACAGGGAAAACATGACTGAACACAGAAGAACTCAAAAATAAACACACAGAAACACAGATCACGACACGGATAAAGAATGTGTCACTCTAGCTAAGGTCAGAGCACATACAGGTATTTCTTCAGGATCTTCTGTGTA